TGGTACTTTTGAGGTAATTTGGTACTTTCAGAGGGTTGCTAGGGTTAGGAATTTGTTAACAAATACAATTTAGGGGCCACTTTCAAACATTTGCTCCTTTTAAGGGTTGTTACTTTCAAACTTAACATCAAAATTGTCTAAGATGTAAAAACAAGAGATCACATCAGCTTTCCTTTGTCTTTGCCACACATGAAAATCTGAATAAAAACATGAAGTTGTAGCTGCACTACTTACCCTTTTTGCATGTAAAATGGTTTCCAAAGCCACTGAGCAGTTCAATATTCATTTTGCCATGAGACTTGTGAATTGATCTTCCACCTATCTTTTACCAATCCACTTTCTTCCCCTCATTTTACAAGAGATGTGAAGCCCTAAGACAGAGATAGAATTAAGTTCTACTGGCAAGAACTTAAAAAATAACTTGTGTCAGAAAGTAGTCAAAAAAAAATCTGAAGAACACAAACTGTCAGCGACTTAAATTCAGTGAGTCATTCTGCACTGCCATGATAAATGACATGCAGTCAATACCTCTGCAAAGTCTCATCATCCAGCAACACTTATTTATTAGCAGTTGTCAAAAACCTTTACAACTTGACAAAACACATACACATAGACCCTTTTCATAAATGGCTGCCAATTATAAATTCTTTTGTAAGTATTAAAATTAACCTGACTAACCTCGTTTTTGAGTAGATAATTCAAAAGAATTTTTACTCCCAAACAAGTTTAGTGAGGCTAATTTAAATGTATACAAAAGAATTTTAAATTGGCAGCCATTAATGAGAAGGGTCTATAGTGCTTTCATTTGGGAATCTGATGTCAAACAATTCCCCAAAACAGCAGACTTCAGTTTATTACTTTGTCCAAGTTATTGTTGACTGTATGCAGGTACAAGACTATTGACAAAGTTGTGCAAAAAGCAATTGCATATACTGGTTTTGAAAGATAATTAAAAAATGTTTAATTATGTCTTGTGTCTGTGCATTACAGACATTTTCCCTACTAACAATAAACTAAGCTAAAAAAAATTACTGCCTCTATGCAGTGTTTCTGGGCCAAGAAAATTGATTAAAGGCTTACCTCTACAGGGGATTTAAATATTTATTGTCAGTAGTTTGACTCCATCTCAAGGATATGAAAGATGCTGATGTAATAATAAAAGGATGTTAGTGTATCAAAGGTTAAAGAAGAGGATTTCCATCAAGCATATAACATACAAAGGGGCAAAAGATTCACTACACTGCTCAGACATTCTTGTTTGCATTCACTGCAAAGTGGGGTAGTACTCCACTCATCTATTAAGCCTTCTTTTGTCATCACTGCAGTGACAAAGTAAACTCGACAAAAAATAAATAACTATTAGACAGTCTTGTGTTACAAATCTTGTAGTGAACATTTGCCTCACTAATAATGCTGATCAAAACACAATAATATCTGCTATTTTGGTACCAGCCATCAGAGCACTGTTGTACAAATAGTAAAATACACTTCGCAGTCTTATCGATCCACAGCTTATTAATGAAGTTCCTAAATTATTAATCAAGAGATGTGGAGGTTCCAGGTATGAACAGGCCAACAGCAACTCAGAAATTGCCCTTTTGGCTTCATGTTATTGGGCAATTTCAGAACACATTACATTCCCTCAGAACATTTTTTGTGCATTGAGGAGCACGAAAGAAGGTCAATGCTACATATATCTGGTAGAAGCACCATATGACCTAAATTACAAAAAAACAAAGAAGGGCTTAAGCAACAAATACTTAGTGAAGAACTCAAGAGCAGCATTCTTAGGTATGACACATACCCCACAATTGGATGTTAATTTCAGTGGTGGGTCCCTGCCCTTTTTCATTGTGGTCATCTTCTGCATTTTGCCCTGTGAAAAGATCAACCAATATGTCAACATACATTTACCAAGTAAGAGTCAAAGTTTGGGAACCAGAATGGCATCCAAGCAAGCAAATACATTGAATTCACTGGTCAGTTAAGAAACGTTTCCACTCATGTGTTGTATCAGAAGAACGAAAGTTTGATATACTCATCATCCCAGTGAATGCAATGTTCAACCACATCAGGCTCAATAATATTATTATTCACACCCGTTTGCTTATCCAACAATACAAACTACACCAAGCTGATAACAACAATGCATGGAGAAACAAAAAGAACAAGATCTTCACAGTTGTATTTCAACTAAAGCAGCTGAAAAGAAAGCCTGAAGAAGATGTTCAGGATCTGGCAAACCTATGACCTTTGTGTTCCTAGAACAGGCCATGTGGACCGGACCAACTGTAGTGTCTTACTGCATTTGGATATGTATCTTGTGTTAGCTTAGATAATAGGATGTAACACAGAGAATTGTATGTCAAACCAGAGTGTGTACTTAGAGCACATCTGACAGGTTGCAATTTTGGCTAAGGCAGGAGAATCATGCAAGTTGCATCAGCTTTGTTTTCTACAATATTCTTCTATGATAGCCACCACTGTAAGCTAGTTCCAGTCTGGTCTCAAAAATATGAATATGGCCTATAAAAATACTAAACATTTACATTTTTTTTCTCCAGTCTTCAGATTTAATCAAGAGATAAATCTGGAGTTTGACAAAAGTTAGGCGAATGGGAGGCATGACATGAAATCACGAGCTGGAGGGTTCTGTTGGAGCCTCAATTTTTTTTCAGGCCTTCTCTCACTAAGCTGAAATATAACTGTGAAGATCGCATTCTCTTTCTTTCCATACTTCCATCAAAGTTGAATGAAAGCCGACATTCAATTTCCCTAAACTTAAAAATTGATATACGGCTATTCGCAACCCACGGGAAAAGAACTTGTGGCAAAGAATGATGAAGAAAGACTTGATGGTTGCGGAAAAAAAGCTGGAGTAAACAAATTGTTAACGAGTTTGCTTGAATCCAACGTACGTGTTGCTTGCACGTGGGTTGTGGTCGAGGTCCAGTATTTTCGTTAACAAATTAACTGTGTGCTTTCATGACTAGTCATTTGTTTAGTAGTTAGTTTAAGTCACTATTGCAGTTTGGTATGAAAGCTTTTCTGCAGAGTAACAGAGTAAAAACAAGCAGAAATTCAACAAACCTTCTCGGAGCTTCAACATTGACAACGGCCGCTGCTTTCCATGTGCTTCAACTAACCCAGAATGCTTTTCTGACGCATTCCTCGCCTCAACTCACCGCGGCCAGCAAAGAGGCACAGGGCATGGGCCACTTTCGACTTCAGCTTGATAGGGAGACCTGGAGGACACAAACAAAAGAAATGAATAAACATGGTCATTCAATTTTCTTTGTTTAAGTCCTCTAGGCCTCGCTGCCAAGCTGAATTTTAATATATCGAAAGTAGTCTATTGGAAATGGTGCACTGGTGAGATTGCGATGTCGGTGATTTGCTTGTTTTCAGCAGTTCCGACGGTTTTATTTCGTGGCTTTGGATTTTACTTACACCATGTACTATATGAGCATATATGGTGGGGAGAGTTCAGGGAGGCCATTTAGCACTGTTGTGCTAAATGGGGACATTGTAAATAAACAATAGGAGAGGGCAAAGTGGACTTTTTCCTTTATCAACATATCGGTGCCTGAACGCGAAGAACTCGTTTTGCACGCTATAGCTGAAGCCCAGAAACGCCGAGGAGAGTGCCTTGTAATCTGTTTCTATTCTTGCAGTCTTTCATGAATATCACTTAACAAAAAACGCTTGGAAAATTATACTTTTTTTGCAATAAAACTGAAGTTCTGTGACAATTTCTTTTTGCGTTTTCCATAGGCAAGAAAATCTTGGCTAAAGGCTGTGAAAGTCTGCTCGGACTGATTTTGAGCTCAAGGGCGAATCCAGGATTTTTCTTAAGAGGGGTGCACCACTAAGGAATGACGTTACTGACTGGTGAGGTAAACAAATTTTAAAAGCGAATACGAAGAAGAAGGCTTCAACCAGGCTTCACCCAGTACCCCAGCGTACCCCCTGCACCATCCCTCTAGATCCGCCCCTAGAGTTGAAACAGTTGCCCCCTTTCAAAGGACAACTGGAGATATTTTTTTTTATCAAATTTCAAATCCACTCGTTTTGATCAACGCAATTGTAATTCGGAAACATGTAGAAACTTCACAGCTTGGCGCTTTCAGAGTGAAGTATAAGTGGAAGTTCTATTGTATGTATAGCAGTACACGAAAGCAATTTCAGCTCTGTTCAGACAGAACTGACCATCTTTGAGATGGTTGTCATTGCGAGGAAAAATAGTGATACATGCCAATAAAATGCCATTGACAAGATATATTTTGACGTGAATTTTGATTGGAAAATGGTTTTCAAGTCTTCAAGTGGAGTATTGAGCTGCGGGACACGAGAATTGTTTGTAATAGCACTGTTATGCATAATAAATTTAAGTATTTTTTTCTGAACTAGATAACTAAACGCCTGTTATCGCGCTACAGGCTCAAAAACGTGCTACACGTTCAGCATCGTTTTTCTGGCCCGTTATTCCATTCTGCAGCACCATAACCGTTATACAGAGGGCCCACTAAAGTGTTACAGGGACGTTAACAGCCTCTACGCAAGTTGTCTTCGTTTTAGGTCCTTTCTGAGTTTCGGAATAAAGGTCCCGGGAAAATCCGAATACCCATCTTATTGGTGCCTATGCTCGAGATTGATTGTATTCCAAAAAGGTAACCAACGGCTGTAGTTACTGATGTTGATTTTCATCAAAAGCCCAGAACGAAGAAGGCTTTCCACTAAAATCTCTTTCACGTTTGACAAATGAGGAAAACGATGACACGCAGTTGCCGATGAAAAAGTCAGCTCTGCCTAAAATGGCAAGGTCTATCTGCGGCAGCGATGGGTTGAGATGGAAAACTTTTACCTGAAATTGGATTGGAAACAAAAACAAAAAAATCAGCAAAAGGGGAAGGAAAAATCAATTCAAAACGTAATTATCTGCTCTGCAAAGTTTGACACTTACGTTACTTTCGTGGCTGTTTAAAATTATCCTCATCCGATGCATTATTCTACTTCTTAAGTTTCACTCAGATACTTTTAATTTATCATATCGGCTTAGTAAAAGGGGAAGAAAAACCAAATTCCAAATGAAATTATGTACTGCACAAAGTTTGACGATTTCGTTTCTTTTGTAGCTGTTTACTTAGCATTTTCTTCGTCTAATGCCGTATTCTACCTAAAAAGTTCAACTCAAATACTTTTAATTTACAATATCGTGGGCCTGGGCAGCTTGTGCTCAATAGTCCAATACTAATGGGTGAAAATTTTAGAACTGCTTGTGATGATCACCTGTCAGAAAATGTTGGCCAAATAGTTCGTCTTGTGTGATCGTCTGGGTGAGGGTAGTTATGAAAAGAACTGTTGTTGTTGACTGACGTTTCGACAACCTGAGCGCAAGTCATCTTCAGAGTCAAGTGAATAGTGTTAGTCAGTCAATGATGTTATAAGTCTGGTCCGTTGAAAGTGATTGGTCAGTTTAGCCGTGATGGTCTTGGCTAAAAGACTAGTGCAAAGTTTGCCAGCAGTCATTGGTTGATTCTAGTAATCACTCAATCACTTTCAACGGACCAGACTTGTAAGTCTTATAACAACATCATTTACTGACTAACACTATTCACTTGACGCTAAAGAGACTTCCGTTCAGGTTGTCGAAACGTCAGTCAACAACAATTCTCTTCAGAACTACCCTCACCTGGACGATCACACTATACGAACTACTGATACTCCTGGCCGCGTTCAAACCATTTACTATGCTGAACAAATGTTCGACTCGAATCCAAAGGGTCTCCACATTGATAATACGCCAATATGTACATAAAACATAATTTTACAATCAACTTACATCCAGCCCTTTAAGTCTGAAATTCAAATGATCAATCATTGGATCATTATCAGTGGCCACAAACACGGCCCTGGCACCATATGTCCTCACAGCTTGCTCAGTGCGGTTGAGAATGTCTTGTTTGGGAGGGAAACAAAGATCCTTAGTGACAGTTCTGTAGCGGGTATACCCCAGACACTGCGGTGATGCCATGTATTGAGGCATGCCTGGTGCATGCTCACAAGCATTTTTCTGGAAGAAAGAAATGAAGAAAACAATAATATTGGCTTCTATCATTGGTAAGGAATGCCTCCATGAAGAGAGCTATGTAGTTGTATCTTTCACATGCACAGTGTATTACAAACCTTTAGAAAATAGCTCAAAGAAAATATGCATTCTGATTGGTTAAAATCGTGTTTCTACAACTAGATTATGAGTCTGAGATTTCTATGGGGTGACAGTTGATAAGGCTGAAGCCCGAACTAACTATCACCAAACCAAATCAACTAACATGAAAAAGAAAGTGAAAACTTTAAAAATGTTCAAAAACGATTTGCCAAATATGGCACCTTTTTAAAAACAAGATTATCATACTGTCTGGCTGGGTGGGGCTTAGTCAGATTAAGAGGATTAACACCAAAATGAATATTGTTAAAAATTAAACTTTCTGTACCCAATCAATTCTATTGCATAGATGAATTCCAACAAATGGCCCTTTTGGCAAAGTGTTTTGAATAAAAAAAATTAAACTTTCTTTACCCAATCAATTCCGTTGCGTAGATGAATTCCAACAAATGGCCCTTTGGGCAAAGTGTTTTGAATATACTCATCCACCTCATGGTTTATCTTGTCGGACCACTTTAGAAAAGCATGTGCATGACGATTCTGTTCTTCTACTGGGTAACTGGCAGGAGCTCCCCTGAATGCAAGAACAGGGTGACTTGATGGTGGAAATCTGTGTAATAATGATTGAAATAATTATTGAAATGGATCTTTTTTCCACTGTCACGCCTTTATAAAACACTCTGGACAGTACTTCATTATAATTTCCACATTGCTGCATTGTTAGTAGTTCTGGTGTGACAGTTTTCAATTAGGTTCCAATTCTCAAACTGCAAAATTTTGGGGGCATTTTCCATGGATTCTGCAACCCCAAGATACCAGCCACCCACCCCCGTTCCCCTTCCACTAAGAAAAATTCTGACCATTAGTAATTATAACTAAGAACAGAGAGAACAGAGGGTATCTTCAGAACTTACTCTCTTTGCCACTGATCTCTCTCATAAGGGTCCCACACATGAACTCCAAGATGGTAGACAATTTTCTCATCAAAGTCCACCTCCAGTCCATCCCAAAAGGGTTTGAAAGGATTTCCTTCCTAAATTAGAAAGACAGTGTGGTCTGGATTCCTTTACAGCTTCAGTAAAACCTTATACATTGACATAGGCCCATCTGGGCCCAGTTACTCACAGCAGGGTTAAAACACAGAGATTAAGGTATCAATTCAGTTTTCTCAGTTAAGTCTTCTTTAAGTCAGTCACCTGTTAAGAAAAGTGTTTTCTTCTCATGAGATTTTCTGTTTCACTATTATTTTCAAATGATCATTCTCAACTTAGGAAGTTAAACTTATTTTAGAACCAACTATACATTCATAACACACTTTACTTTGGAGCTAGGAGGTAGCCAGCAGTAGCCACGCCTTTTTCCTTTGGGCCAGTAAGTGGAGGCTAAATGTTTCATAAAATCTTCTGCTGAAATAACTCTGTGGTAAGATTGAAGAGGTTCCACTTGAAAAAAGTCAGAGAAAGGGACATTTTTCTGTTGGAAAATTAATATAATAATCATGAATACACAATACATAAATTTGACTGAATGCTGGTACATATGGGTTATTGACCAAGCATGAGGTCAAAATGGCTAGATATTGGCCGACTTCTGTCTTTTACATGTTACTGGGCTGAGATGGCTGCCTGCCTGCTTGGGTAGCCAATCACAGTGCAGGATTTGGTTCATCTTGCCCGGTCACTAGCTAGCCATGTAATAAGGACAGTTATAGCTTTTCAGACCAGTAACCAGCTGCACAATAATTTTATTGGTCTTTTCAATTCCTAGCATTTCAATTTGTTAACTATATGAGCACAGAAATAACATGTCTTAGTAGTCATGTTTGCCGCTTGCCTAAATCCATCAATCTTCCCCATCCTCACCTGAGTGCCTTATTTCTGACTCCTCTGGTGTTTTCTTGGTAAGGAAAGGTAGGTAGGTAGGTAGGTAGGTAGGTAGGTAGGTAGGTAGGTAGGTAGGTAGGTAGGTAGGTAGGTAAAGTCTGCACACGAGCCAAGTGGCCCATCAGTCCGGAGCTTATCCCGGTTTCTGTAGCATGAAGCGACTGGCAGTATTTATT